TATCATAAACTCTGCATGATCTTCTTATAAAAAATATCACTATAATCTTAAAAATTAATAATAATTATACTAAGTAAAATTGTCTTTCCTAATACTTGATGCACAAATTTCGGGTCTTTACGAACATATCTATTTTATCACAGATTCTTCAAGATACACTTAAAATTTATAGTGTCAATTAACATAATCTTTAACATAATCTTAATTTTCATTACTACTACAGCATTGGTAAGGAAGATGTGTGATTCTGCAAATTGTATTACCAACAACTTTAAAAATTAATCAATATAATTATTAGACACACGGACATATGGGCCTGGTCAACAGAAAAGGACCGTAACGAAAGTGAACTACTATGTAAAGTAGGTATTAGTATAGTTTCTAAGTAATTAATGTTCTACATGAAGAGTTACATAGAGAGATGGTATTAACTCAAAATTACTTTTTTCACATTATGGCCCTTGTCTATTATCCAGACCCCATATATTCATTTTTTAAAAAAATTACATTGATTCCTTTCATCTTTTGGTTACTTACGCGAAACTATTATTTTGTAATCGTAAGCATTATGTGCGTTAATAATCATAATCATAATCACAAATCTTAAGGATAATAATAAAAATAATGATTTAGATTGTAAAATTCTCACTTATGCAAAGGTTTATTCTCGATCCATTATAAATTCTCATGGAGAAGAAAGTTTGGAAGTGGATGAGAAAAAGGCATCTTCAGAAAATAATAATAATAATGGCATTATAGCCAATATGCTGAAAAAAGTTATTGGAAGACACGAATCAACCGATCAGCAAAATGGTGAAAATCAAGACGGTAATAACTCCATCTCTTCATCTGTTCCACAGGACAAGAAGGCTAAAATTCCAACAAAAAATAATGACGGTAACGATAATCCTTCTTTATCCAACAATAATGTAAATAGTTCAAAAAGCAATGATCTGAAGAATAATCATCAAGAAAAAAAAGGTAGTAATCAAGAAAATGAAGATAGTGATAGTGATAGCGATGATAACTATAAAGACTTGGATTATGATAAAATAGATCGTGATGAGTCGTATTAACATATATTTTCTGAAATATTGTATTTT